GAAAGATCAATCCTTCCTTGTTGTGGGACACGCTATGGATTCAGTCATGTGTATGGGTTGAGTCCTGCCTCTATCATTTCTAACTATGTGACCTACTGTTGGTCACTTAACTTTTCTGAAACTCAATGTCCTCATTTGTGAACAAAGATAGCATATTAATAACTGAATCCTTTTTTTTAAACTATAATTTTTGGAGCTCCTTCTGTATGCTGGTCACTGAAAGAAAGGTGCCTTATATGTATGTAAATATAATTTAGTTCTTAAAAGAAGGTATTTTTATCCTAATTTTAGACATAAAGAAATAGATTCAGAGAAGTGATTAAGTAATTGCTCTCCTCATTGTGGGGCTTGAACTCACAACCCCAAGATCAAGACTCACATGCTCTGCTGACTCAGCCAGCCAGGTGCCCCGAGAAGTGATTTTTTAAAAAACCATAGATGATAGGGGCGCCTGGGTGGCTCAGTCGGTTGAGCGGCCGACTTTGGCTCAGGTCAAGATCTAGCGGTCTGTGAGTTCGAGCCCCGCGTCGGGCTCTGTGCTGACAGCTCAGAGCCTGGAGCCTGTTTCAGATTCTGGGTCTCCCTCTCTCTGACCCTCCCCCATTCATGCTCTGTCTCTCTCTGTCTCAAAAATAAATAAACGTTAAAAAAAGTTAAAAAAAAAACAACTATAGATGATAGGTAACATTTATGTACTACTTACTATGCATGAAACACTATTCTTTTCTTTTTTTTTTTTTTTTTAACTTTTTAAGCTTTATATCTGAGAAAGGCAGAGACAGAGCATGAATGGGGGAGGAACAGAGAGAGAGGGAGACACAGAATCCGAAGCATGCTCCAGGCTCCAAGCTGTCAGCACAGAGCCTGATGCGGGGCTTGAACTCATGAACTGTGAGATCATGACCTGAGCTGAAGTCAGATGCTTAACTGACTGAGCCACCCAGGTTCCCCCAAGGTCACACAATTGGTTAGAGGCAAAGGCAGGACAACAAACTGAGTTGTCTGGTCCTGGAGGCTATGCTGTTAGCCATTGTGCTGTGCTAGACTGGCTCTGAGAGATGCTGGGAGGTTCAGATAGCAGAATGAATGTGAAACCACTTTGAAAATTGCTTAGTGCCTGAAAAAAAAAGCTAAGGATTATTATTATTATTATTATTACTCAGTTCACTGCTTACTCATCTGTGAAATGGGGATAATCATACTCTGGCCTGCCAACTTTAAGAGGATGTTTTGTGGAGTGCCAATGAGATAATGGATGGGGAAACATATAAAAGTTAAAGGCTCTACATGGTAGAAGGGACTGTACAGATTATTTCCATGCCAGTGGCTTCCCAAGGCTCCTATCCTCTACCTCGAGTTTGACATTAATATTGCTGACAGGAGTGGGGGAGGTAGGGGGACATGAGGGACCAAGGGACTCTGCGTCCCAATAATTAAACATGTTGGGACTGAAGCACTGCCAGCGGCAGCATCTGGTTGTAATTACCAGAGGGGACTGAAGTGATTAGTCACCTTTATAGTGAGAGCCAGGTCGGTCCCCTGGGTTTCTCCCTGGAGAGAGCCTTCTCAGCAAGCTCAGAGTCCCCTTTTCCTGCTCCCACCCCATTTCTGGAGTTCCCTGATCCTCAAACAATAGCCCCTGCTCTGAGACTCCTTCATGTCCCCAAAGTCCCAGCCCTGCTCTGAGACTCCCCCATGTCCCCAAAGTCCCAGTGCATTGGATGAGACCTTGACTGAAAGCCAAGAATACCAGAATTGCCCCCAACACTTTTTATTTCTTGTGTTTCTAGAGGCCAGGTTAGGATTCTTGGGTACAAAATGTATCAAAGCAGGAATTAGGCTTAAAAAGTAATTTAACCCTCCTGAATTTCAATTTCTTCATCTGCAAAATGTGGCTACCAGGAGCACCTTCATCACAGGATTATTGTGAAGATAAACAAGGTAAAAATACTGTGGACTACAAAGGCTAGAGTCTAAGGGTGCCTGGGTGGCTCAGTTGTTTAAGCGACCAACTCTTGATCTCAGGTCAGGTCTTGATCTCGGGGTCATGAGTTCAAGCCCCGTGTTGGGCTCCACACTGGGCATGAAGTCTACTTAAAAAAAAAAAAAAAAAAAAAAAAAAGCCTAGAGTCTAGTTTACTTGAGTACCTGCTCAATTAATAGTAGCTATTATTATTTGTCAGGTGCTAAGCTAATCACTTTTTATGATTAATTTAATCGTATCCCCACAAAAACCCTATGAGGTAAGTACTGTAATGATTCTCATTTAGAGTTTCAGAGAGGTTTGGAAGCTTCCAAAAATCGCACAGCACACTAAGCTATTTTGCAGAACCAGAATTCTAAACCAGGTGTGTTTGCCTCCAGGGCCCTTACTCTTTATCAAACTGTGTACAGGGACATCTTAGTGGTTTGATTCATTCATCCGTTCATTTATTCACTCAATCAAGTTTACAAATGCCTAATAAGTAGCAAGATAGAATCCCTCCCTTTAAGGAACTCAGAGTCCAGCAGGGAAGGTGTGATATGTCCACAAGTAACCACACCTGGAAGTAGAAAATTATGGCTTTTGTATATAAGGGCCAGTGGAGATTTATTCATCTATATAACACACACTGAGAATCTGCTATGTACTGAACACTATGCCCAGCACTGGGAATAAGTGAAAGATAAATATGGCACAATCTAATCATAATCTAATGGGGTAGACAGAAATTTAAATACGTTATTACAGTTGTAAGGAATTAAGTTGTGATTTTAAAAGTAGGAAAAAAGTAAATGGGCACCTGGGTAGCTCAGTCAGTTAAGTGTCTGACTCTTGATTTTGGCTCAAGTCATGATCTCACAGTTTTATGAGTTCAAGCCCCGTCTTGGGCTCTGTGCTGGCCATGGGAGCCTGCTTGGGATTCTCCCTCTCTCTCTGCCCTTCACCCCACTCATGCTCTATCTCTCTCAAAATAAATAAATAAACTTTAAGAAATGTGCAAAAAGTACATAAATAGAGTAGAAGAAATGAGTTGTGTTCGAGACAGGGGACAGAGGCAGAACTGGGTAACCTCTGAGCCACCAAAGCAGAAAGGAGCACAGAAAATGTGTGATGACAATTCAGGAGCATGTATTTTCTGGTGGATGAGGGAAGGCTTCATGGAGGAGAGGGCACATGAGCTTGCACTTTTCAACAGGTAAGTTTTAGAGGGGAAGAGTTGGAACAGAGATATCCTGGAGACCTAGAAGCCAGTTATCAGGTAATTATAGTAGGACAGGCGGCGAGGAGAACAGAGATAGTGAGGTAATTGGGGGATGGAGAGGAGGGAGGAGTGTTAAGGATAACTGCTTAAATGGGGACAAGTCAAAGGGGGAGCGAAGTGTTGTGAATCTGGGTAATTAGAGGGATAGTAATGAATCCAGCTCTTCCTGAAAGCTCCCCCAAAAGGGTGATGGTGCCTTGGCCTTCTGAGATGGGGAGGTAGAGCTCTGCTGGGTGTTCTGACCCAGGACCACTTCATGAAGCTTGAAATGGCCAAGTCATGCTGCTGTGCTCTGAAGATCATAGAGGACCTGGGAGCATCACCATGAAAAGGCTGGTCGGGCACCTGCACACCCCAGCCCAGTTTCATCTTTCCTTCATCAAACACTCCATGTGCTTCTACTCTGTGCCAGGTGGTGCTGGGAAACCAATCTGGGTGACCTTACGGTGCAAACAGATCTCCATTAGGCAGGCTCAAAAAATCCCATATTAAGAAGGAGGATTTCCTGGGGCCTCTGGATGGGTCAGTCTGTTAAGCATCTGACTCTTGATTTCAGCTCAGGTAGTGGTCTCACGGTTTGTGAGATTGAGCCAGGCGTCAGGTTCCACATCGGCAGCACGGAGCCTCCTTGGGATTCTCTCTCTCTCTCTGTCTCTCTCTCTCTCTGTCTCTCTCTCTCTCTCTGTCTCTCTCAAAACGATTAAAAAAAAAAGAAGCTTTCCTGATTACTACTTCTACACTGCTTCTTACAGTGTGACAAAGTGTTATAGAGAAACATACAGGAAGGGGTAGTTGGCTCTGTCTGGGGATCAGGGAAGGCTTCCCCGAGGAGGTGAATTTTCAGCTGAAGCTTTCAGATTGAGGAGGACCTCCTTCAGCTGTGGGAGTTGATATTTCAGGTGAAGGGAACAGCTCTCCCCCATGAGTCATGCTGGAATTCAGACTTCTCCCAGAGCTACCAAAAAAACATCATGCGGGAAATAATTTTTCCAGTCTCCTGCAGGGGTCGCTGCTGCCCCAGGCTGAGGCTGCCACCTCTCGACTGCCCCAGTTCTTTCCAACAGAACTCAGAGTCTGTCTTTGCTGGGGTAGTAGTGAGGTACACTCTGGACCTGCTTCCATCGAAGGAGTGGGCTCAGGGGTAGCAGTCCCCGCTGAAGCCTGAAGAAATCATCTGAGCTCTGTCAATGGCACTTGGGGGGAGGGGTGTAGTAGGTACAGATATTTTTCTGTCTCTGGGTCACCACAAGTTTATTAAAATAAAAGCAACTGTGGGTAAATGCTGCCATCTGTGCTGCCCCCCCCCCCCAACAAATCAGGCCCCAGACTAGACGCAGGGGTTGAAGCTGCTTTAAAACACCCCAAGGACTTAACTGAAAACCCACACTCCCCATGCTTCTGGGGCTTAAGATCTTGAGCTCATTCCTCAGTATCTCTCCTCAGGAAGGTGGGGTGGGCTGCCCCGTGAGGTGGAGGTGAAGACCCCTGAGTCTGCTCCACAGACTGAGAGGCCCCCTAAGCCTAGAGCCCTGCTGCGGGGCTCTGTGCCAAGAGCCCCCGTGAGCCATGGCCTCGAAAGGGCAGCGGTGATTTTTTTCACATAAATATATCGCACTTAAATGAGTTTAGACAGCATGACATCAGAGAGTAATTAAATTGGTTTGGGTTGGAATTCCGTTTCCAATTCCTGAGTTCAGGTTTGTAAAAGATTTTTCTGAGCACCTGCAGGCGTGTGTGTGTGTGTGTGTGTGTGTGTGTGAAGTATTTTCACTGGAAAGGATTCAAAACTTAAAAAAAAAAAAAAAAAAAAAACTGGAGCACACAGGCAGCATTACGCCATTCTTCCTTCTTGGAAAAATCCCTCAGCCTTATACAAGCCTCCTTCAAGCCCTCAGTCAGTTGTGCAGGAGAAAGGGGGCGGTCGGCTTTCTCCTTTCAAGAACGAGTTATTTTCAGCTGCTGACTGGAGACGGTGCACGTCTGGATACGAGAGCATTTCCACTATGGGATTGGATACAAACACACACCCGGCAGACTTAAAGAGTCTCAGACTGAGGAGAAAGCCTTTCCTTCTGCTGCTACTGCTGCTGCCGCTGCTTTTGAGGGTCCACTCCTTTCATGGTTTTTCCTGCCAAACCAGAGGCACCTTCGCTCCTGCCGCCGTTCTCTTTGGTGTCATTCAGCGGCTGGCCAGAGGATGAGACTCCCCAAACTCCTCACTTTCTTGCTTTGGCACCTGGCTTGGCTGGACCTGGAATTCATCTGCACTGTGTTGGGTGCCCCTGACTTGGGCCAGAGACCCCAGGGGGCCAGGCCAGGATTGGCCAAAGCAGAAGCCAAGGAGAGGCCCCCTCTGGCCCGGAGCATCTTTAGGCCAGGGGGTCACAGCTATGGTGGGGGGGCCACCAATGCCAGGGCAAAGGGGGGCACCGGGCAGACAGCAGGCCTGACACAGCCCAAGAAGGATGAACCCAAAAAGCTGCCCCCCAGATCGGGTGGCCCTGAACCCAAGCCAGGACACCCTTCCCAGACAAGGCAGGCTGCAACGCGGACTGTGACCCCAAAAGGACAGCTTCCTGGGGGTAAGTCACCCCCAAAGGCAGGATCTGTCCCCAGCCCCTTCCTGCTGAAGAAGGCCAGGGAGACTGGGCCCCCTCAAGAGCCCAAGGAGCCGTTCCGCCCGCCCCCCATCACACCCCACGAGTACATGCTCTCGCTGTACAGGACGCTGTCCGATGCTGACAGAAAGGGAGGCAACAGCAGCGTGAAGTTGGAGGCTGGCCTGGCCAACACCATCACCAGCTTTATTGACAAAGGGCAAGGTGAGGGGGTGGGGGGGCAGGGGCACGGCTGAGAGGGAGGGGCATCTGCATGCGTGGAGGGGCCTTTCAGAGCCCTGACACTGCACCCGTGGGAGATAGCACATGCATCGGCCTGGGGTAGTATCTGGGACTGACCCCCCACGTACTGGGTCTGAGGCTGCTGGCAAGTCAGAGCCAATCCCTGCAAGGTGCAGAGGGGGTTACTGAAGCCCAGAGAGGGGACAAGAACTGCCAGTTGGTGGCAGAGTTGGGGACCACACTCTAAGACTCTTACCAGGCCATGCTCTGTTCCTATGTGGGCTAGCCAGACTTTCCAAGCTCCAGAGGTTTGTAGGTTTTCTCAGATGGCAGAGAGAGAGATTAATCTCTAGAAACCTGTGGTTTGGCAAATCTGCCTTCAAGCTAGGGGGCAGAGGAGGCAGGATAGGTGAAGACAGCAAATGAGGCATCTGGGAGTCATGGAACGACATTTAAATGTATGATGTGGGGGGTGCAACAGACTTAGGGTCTTAACTCACAATGTGACCTTGAGGGAATCCCTTTTCTCTTTGGTGTCTCAGTTTCCCCATCTGCACAATTATATGGGTATTGGACTGGGTGATTTCTTCCTTTCTTTTTTTTTTTTTTTTTTTTATGTTTTTTTATTGGGGGGGGGGGGCAGAGAGAAAAGGTGAGAGAGAGAATCCCAAGCAGGCTCTGCACTGCTAGTGCAGAGCCTGATGCAGGGCTCGAACTCACAAACCGTGAGATCATGACCCTCTGAGCTGAAACTGAAAGTTGGATGCTTAACCGTCTGAGCCACTCAGGCACCCCAAGACTGGGTGATTTCTGAGAGCCATTCAAATATGAACACTTTGTGTCCTGTCCTAAACACATCATTTTTATCATCAGCCCAGGAGGGTATCTGTTCCCTTCACTTCTTATGCTCGGTTAGCATTACTGTTTTGGCATTTCCCTCTCCACTTGCTGTGTGATCTCAGCAAGTCCCTTCCCCTCTCAGGGCCTCAGTTTCTCTGTAAGTGTGAAAAGAGAGATGGATTACTTATTGCCATGGTTGCTTGCAGTTCATATGCTCTGGTTCTGTGAGTCTTAAGACTTTGCTGGCAGGGTGGGGGAGGGGTCAGATATTGGGAGAGGCTCCTCATTAGAGCCAGCCGGCCAGGCCGGTGGGGGAATGACAGGGTGGGAGGAAGCAGGAGGCAGCAGGTCTGGCTGGGGTGGGGGAGGTGGCCTGGCCGCCTGCCCAGCCGGGGAAAGCTGTGACCCCTTGGGGGCTCATAAAATAAGTCCTTGTGCCCCCCAGCTCTAAGGGAACTTGCAGAGGGGGAGATGGGAGTTTAAAGGCCTAATTAGTCACCTTCTAGAGCAATGTATGAATGCTTCCCAATGGCAAATTGGTATTTAGGAAAGAGAGTATGCTGATTCAGACACACGGCAGAGTTTCTCGTACATACACAGCCGTGTGTTTATACATATACGCTGAATCACACACACATGTATGCATGTGAACACACACCTTCTTACATGTACACACGGAACCTTCTTACAGATACACATATATACGCAAGCACAATCACACGTGCACATGTCACTCACGTATACTTTACCTTTCATATTCACATATAAACCCAATCATATACACACACACATGCACAAACTGTCACTTACACACATGCTCATATACCCAGCATGGTAAGACATGTACACACCAAAATCATTAGACTAGGAAGCAAGGGAAATTGGATTGTAACTTTATCATTAACTACCTGCAAATTTACACAAGTCACTTTTCCCTCTCTGTGCCTCATCTGTAAAATGAGAACACCAAGATCTTCTTTAAGGTATAGTGGAAGCAGTTCAGGATTGAGTATAAAAAGTTCTAGACTAGGGGCACCCAGGTGGCTCAGTCGGTTAAGCATCCGACTTCAGCTCAGGTCATGATCTCACAGTTCATGAGTTCAAGCCCACACCAGGCTCTGTGCTGACAGCTTGGAGCCTGGAGCCTGGAGCCTGCTTTAGATTCTGTGTTTCCCTCTTTCTCTGCCCTCCCCTGCTCATGCTCTGTCTCTCTGTCTCTCAAAAATAAAAATAAGCATTAAAAAAAAAAAAAGTTCTAGAGTTACAGCTCTGCTTTTTCCTAGCTGGGTGATCTTGGGCAAGTCACCTAATTTCTCTGAGCCTCAGTTTCCTCCTCTGGAAAATAGGGCTAATTATAATACCCACCCCACCTATCTCTCCAATGAGATATCATATAAAATAATAGATGGGAGAAGGACAGCTAGAGGCATCTCTGATACGCATTGTCTTTGACACAAACACCCAGAATCTTTCAAATCACCACAGCCACAGTTACAGATGAACAACCCTTGTTTATTTTGGTAGGCTGTTTCAGAAGCTCCCTTATTTTGAAAAAGCCTCTCGTGGTTTGGGTCTTGGCCTCTGTCAGAGTCGGGGAGAGGTCAAAGAAAGCTATCTCCAGAGGGGAGAGAGCTGTGGCCCTTCCCTGAGGCCTCGAGGTGACTGGCTCCCTTGGTGAGGTTGCAGGGAATGACTTCTGGGTGTTCTCTCTAGATGACCGAGGTCCTGTGGTCAGAAAGCAGAGGTACGTGTTTGACATTAGTGCCCTGGAGAAGGATGGGCTGCTAGGGGCCGAGCTGCGGATCTTGCGGAAGAAGCCCTCAGACGCGGCCAAGCCAGTGGCCCCCGGCATCAGGCGGGCTGCCCAGCTGAAGCTGTCCAGCTGCCCCAGCGGCCGGCAGCCGGCAGCCTTGCTGGATGTGCGCTCCGTGCCAGGCCTGGACGGATCTGGCTGGGAGGTGTTCGACATCTGGAAGCTCTTCCGAAACTTTAAGAACTCAGCCCAGCTGTGCCTGGAGCTGGAGGCCTGGGAACGGGGCCGGGCCATGGACCTCCGTGGCCTGGGCTTTGACCGGGCTGCCAGGCAGGTCCACGAGAAGGCCCTGTTCCTGGTATTTGGCCGCACCAAGAAACGGGACCTGTTCTTTAACGAGATTAAGGCCCGATCCGGCCAGGATGATAAGACTGTGTATGAGTACCTGTTCAGCCAGCGGCGAAAAAGGCGGGCCCCACTGGCCACCGGCCAGGGCAAACGGCCCAGCAAGAACCCCAAGGCCCGCTGCAGTCGGAAGGCACTGCATGTCAACTTCAAGGACATGGGCTGGGATGACTGGATCATCGCGCCCCTTGAGTATGAGGCCTTCCACTGTGAAGGGCTATGTGAGTTCCCCTTGCGCTCCCATCTGGAGCCCACGAACCATGCCGTCATCCAGACCCTGATGAACTCCATGGACCCTGAGTCCACGCCACCGACCTGCTGTGTGCCCACACGACTGAGTCCCATCAGCATCCTCTTCATTGACTCTGCCAACAACGTGGTCTATAAGCAGTATGAGGACATGGTTGTGGAGTCTTGTGGCTGCAGGTAGCAGCACTAGCCTTCTGTCTTCCTGGCTGGCACATCCAGGATGCTGGTCACAAGAGCCCCTCCCTGCACTCCCAGAATCAGAGAAGTCGGGAAAATACAGCCAGGACGTCTACACAGCCTGCACGAAAGGGGATTCCAACAGCCTTGCTCTTACTCTCTGAGTGGGACTGGGTTAGAGATTCCTTTCTAGCCACAAGTCCCCTTGTCTGAGGATTTCTGCCCTTCTGCTGCTCTGACTGCCGGGACAGACCCAGGGAGACAGACTGAATGGGACTGAGACCCAGGAGATGTTGTTTTCCCCTGAGACCCAGCCCACAACTTCTCCTTACTTGGGCCTTGTTGGCTTCTGGACTCTCCAGGGAGGGCTCCTCTTGGGAAAGCCACACCTGCCATCCCCACCTTGAATCACCATTGTGCCTGGTGACTTTCTGCCCCTGGGGCAGATGAGATGCTGATTGGGCAGGGGTGGGCAAGACGGGAGAGGGCTCGGGCAGGGGTGAGGAGTGTGAGGCTGTTAGACTGTTAGATTAAAATGTACATTGATGAGATAAAAAGCAAAACTGTTACTAAAACGGTGGCAAATTTCTTGTTTACTCCAGGGGACCCAGTGACCTCCTCAAAGCATGACTGACCCACGGAGGGGAGGTGGGTTGCCTGAAGCAAATCAGGACAGACAGTACAAGCTGAGTAGGGCCAATGCTACCTCACCCCACTCCCGTTCCTTCCAAAGGCCTTTTGGTCTGGATCTCCATCTGCTTCTCCGGGGTCTGGCAACAGACTTAGGTTTTCTTTTTGACATTCCTCAATCAAGCTTATTGTCTCCTAAATGGAACCCTACATGGGAGGGAAATTGGGGGTTTCATTTCCTCTAAAATCATCCCCACCTCATTCACTCCCTGCCCCCCTCCCCATATACTCACAGAATCCACTGGCCACCATTTAGAGGGCCCTCTACCTTTCCGTGGGGAACCTGGGCTGCCAGAGATCTCCTCCCCTGTTGAGGCATCTTCTTTTTGCCACTGACCACTGTTTCTTGAATGATCTTCTGTAGCTCCACTACCCTTCAGCTTAGCACCTTTATCACTCCTCCCCGCTCATCCATCACTTACTACCCATCACCCCAGCTCCAGAAACAGAGCTGGAGTCCTTCCCCTTTACATTTTATATTATACAAGTACATAATTATACATTTGATAAGCAACCTTCCCACTAACCTTAGGCAGACCAATGCCAGACACATCCTGACGTTTCCTGCTTGGGGCTTGGCCCAGAGTAAATGCCCACTTCTCTGTATCCACTAGAATTCTTAGTTGGGGGCACGAGGCATGAATGCTTGGGAGGGGAACACAGCCCTCTGGTAGGGGAATTTGGGCACCTAAGTCCTCTTTCTAAGGGCTTAGGACCAGGCTCTGCCTGGCCAAAGAGAGGGAAGACTAAGAGAAGGGAGTCTAGGCCTCCCCTTCCCACCCAGGGGGCCCCAACATTTTCCCCAACTCTCTCCAGCTGGGTCTTTGATTCCCAGGGCTCCTAGCCAAAGCTGTTTCAACAGTAAGGATTCCTGCCCAGCTATGGGCAGATCTTGTGTCCCTTCCCTCTAGGCCCAAAACCTGTGTTGTCAGGACCTGAAACAAGAGCCTGGTGCAGGGGGCAGCCTACCTTTGAGCTGCCTCCCTGGCTTGGAGGCCATTACCTGTCCCTGAGGGGCCAGTCTGAACCTGGAACCTAGCCCTCCCTGGCAGGCTTCGTTGTGTTTGGCTGGTGGCAGGCCTTCGAGCTCTGGCAGTAAACAAAGGAGCTGCCACAGCAGACAGAGTTCTGGTGTGAAAGAGGAGAGTGAGCCTGGAGGCAGTGCCGGGGAGGCCAACCCGTAGGTTGTGGACACAGGGAGAGCAGTGTAGAAGCAGGGTGGCTGTAAACCCAAGGGCAGAGAGGCAGAGGACGGAGGGGTCACAGGTGGGGCTGGCTCCTACACGCACTGGTTTTCTGGGCTGTGTGTCCCTACTTTCTTGGAAAGTCTGACAGACTGGAGTGGCACCCTGCCTGAGCCCTGTCAGAGAGCTTCCTGTCATCTCAGCCTCTGTGTTCTTCCTGCTGAAGGCCCGGGCACTGAATCGACTGTTGTGGTCTGGCTTGGTACCTAGGAGCTTCCTTTCCCACCTCAACCTGCTCTAGAACTTGCTTTCACAAAAGAGCCACTCAGACTGTGTACCTTCCCCCTTTCCTCCCCAGACTATGGGGATCCAATCAGATCAGTGTGGGGTACAAGCCCTTCCATGCTAGCCATCCCATCAGCTGCCTCCTTGGACAATTATCTTCACCAGGCATCCACCTCCAGTGCCAGTCAGAACAAGTTGCATACTTGTATAGGACACTTCTGTGCAGAAGGGCACAAGGTTTGTATCATTCTTCAGGGTTCACAAACAGGCTCTCAGCTGAGGTTCACAAACATGCTCACGGCTCTGAAGGGCTCAAAAGGCAGCCCAGTTTCAAATTTCAGATCTGTCACTTAGAGTTAGAGGCCTTGGGCAAGTAACTTAATTCCATGAACCTTGGTTTCCTCATTTGTTGGGGGGGGGGGAGGGTGGGAGAGGGGGAAGGGGTAGACAATATGCCTATTTCATAAGGCTAACTGGGGAGGATATGAAGGACACTCAACACAATGGCCCCACAGAGGTAGCACTCGATAAATATTAACTGCTATCATTATTGTGCCTCCAACAGTCCTGTGAAGCAAGCAGGGCAAGGACTATTACTCTCCATTTTTATAGATGAGGAAGCTGAAACCCAGAGAGGTGACTGCAGGCCTCCTGCATGTCTCAGTATTCTTTGTACCATTCTTGCTACTTCTCTGACCCCCCAATTCCACTGACTCTAGTCCTGGCAAGTAGTCAAATTACCTGCCTAGAGCTTACCTTCCTGTTCCTAAAAGCTTCTCCTTGGAGGCACACGGCATGTTAGTTTCTGGGGAGAAATAGCTAAGCATATAGGTTAGGGCAGGAAAGATGAGAGGCCCATAGGGGTGGAAAGAGGTGAGGCTCCTAGTGCTCTGATGCTGCCTCTTAGTCCTTTCCACCTCTCTATGTCCCAGGCCCATAAGCAGGAGAATCTGCTTTTCTAGGGCTTGGAACACACAACTTTGGGAAGGCTCTCAGACTTCATTTTGATTCCACAACTAGTTCTTTGGATCTGTATACACACATAAGGAAACAGAGTAAGAAAGACTTAGTCACACACGCTTGGGAGTCGAGTGGATCTGGGTTTCAGTTCCAGTTCTAACACTTGCCGGCTGACCCTCTCTAAGCCTTGATCTCTCTGTCTGTAAAAGAGGGATAATAATATCAAATTTAATGGGCTTGGGATTTGGGAGAGGGGTTATTTATTCATTCCATCAACCTTTGATCCATTCATTCATTCCTTAATGAGTAAATATTTATTGAGGGTCTACTATGACCCAGATGCTGTGCTGAGCGTTGGGATAATAATAACAACCACAACTGTAAATGTTTATCAAGGGCTTATTATGTGCCAGCTACTGTGCTTAGCACTTTATCTGGATTCTCTTATCTTTCCATGACCATGTCCTCAAGTTCCATGCAAGAATGAAAGAGAAAATAAAGATCCTGAAGGATGCTAGGATGATAACATAATAGGCTGAATCAAAGGAGATGAAATAAAATGAGAATTAAAATTATTTAATATTTGTGTATTTATTAATATATATAATGTAGGGGCGCCTGGGTGGCGCAGTCGGTTAAGCGTCCGACTTCAGCCAGGTCACAATCTCGCGGTCCGTGAGTTCGAGCCCCGCGTCAGGCTCTGGGCTGATGGCTCAGAGCCTGGAGCCTGTTTCCGATTCTGTGTTTCCCTCTCTCTCTGCCACTCCCCCGTTCATGCTCTGTCTCTCTCTGTCCCAAAAATAAATAAAAAACATTGAAAAAAATAAAAAAAAAAATATATATATATAATGTAAACATATAAAATTACCCATCAGAATGCATGAAACCCAGCATACAAGTACAGGATGTAAAAAAAAAAAAATGTGATTTCACAACTTCAGATGGGAAAGAGATAGTGTTACAGGTAGCTCTGAACTGAGTTGAATCAACTGAATATAGTGTGGATGCTTCAATGAAAATGTAAGTGTGGGCTTCATTAATAAACATGTAATATACAAACCCAAGGAAGCTTTGGTTCTGCTCTGTGAGGCAGGACTTGGGAAGTGTTGGGATGGAGAGAGTAAGGGAGAAGCAAAGTCAAGGATGAATCCTATGGTTTTTTTTGCTTGGTCAACTGGGTAGAAGGTGTGCCATATAACAACAAAAAAGAACACAGAAGGAGGAACAGATTTTGAGAGGAAGATGATGAGGTCAGTTTTGGACATGTCAGGTTTTAAGAACTCTTAAGACATTAACTTTAAATAGGAAAAGCAGAATTCTTTCATGAAATGATACAAGGAAGAAAGGATACATGCACAGGATAAAAGCAGGTTTGTTGGTTGTGTGGTGGGAAGTCAAGTTTCATTCTGATGGCTTCTAATTTCTTTTTTTTTTTTTAATTTTTAAATGTTTATTTATTTTTGAGAGAGAGAGAGAGAGCGCGCGCGCGCGCGCGCGCGCACAAGCGGGGGAGGGGCAGAGAGAGAGACAGAATCCGAAGCAGGCTCTAGGCTCTGGGCTGTCAGCACAGAGTCCGATGTGGGGCTCAAACTCACAGACTACGAGATCATGACCTGAGCCAAAGTCGGACGCTCAACTGACTGAGCCACCCAGGTGCCCCTGATGGCTTCTAATTTCTATTTTCTCTGTGAAATAGGAGATCAGGCCATCTGTTCAGAGAGGTCAGAGTCAAGGTTTGAAGAATGTAGAATGTAGAAAAGGTTCCTATTATGGGTTTAATTGTATCGTTCAAAAAGGTATGTTAAAGCCCTAACCCTCATACTTGTGACTATGACCTAATTTGGCAAAAGGGTCTTTGCAGAAGGTGAGGTCATTAGGCTGGGCCCAATATGACTGGAGTTCTTAGAAGAGAAGAGACACAGAGACTGACAGATAGGGAGAAGATCATGTGATGACAGATGAAGAGATTGGAGTTATGCAACTGTAAACTAAGAAACATCAAGGATTGCAGGCAATTGCCAGAAGCTAGGAAAAACCAAGGAGAGATCCTCCCCTAGAGCCTTCAGATAGAGCATGTCCTGCCAACACCTTGATTTTGGACTTCTAGCCTCCAGAACTGTGAAACAATACATTTCCATTGTTTTAAACCACCTGGTTTGTGTTTATGTTGTTATTGTTGTTGTTGTTGTGGTGGTGGTGGTTGTGGTTGTTGTTGTTATTGTTGCCATGGTAGCCCCAGGAAACTAATATAGTTATAAATAGCAGTTCTGGAGATGGCAAGCCTAGTTGAGCATAACAGAGGTTGGATACCATATTTGGTGGTACTAATAAGCCCTTTGCATGATTTTCTTCAAGAGTAGTCAATAATTTGGATGCAGGCATGGAATAAATGAACAATTACAGGATTGGAGTCTTTCTAGATGAACAGGATAGAAGGACGTTTGAGCAAGGGAGTTGATATTGGTAAGAGAACAATTAAAGTGATAGACCATAGGGTCTGAGCTAGATAGAAGTATAGAGAGGAGAGGGTTGACAGACTATAAAGAAAGAAGATAAAGCCTGGAGGTCTCATTGGGGTAAAATGACAGTTTATTAGAAGTAATAACTGAAAACTGAAAGAATAGGATGGTGAGAACACAGAATGGCATAAGTTAAAAATTTCAGAATTAAAATGATTCCAGTGATAAAGTCCAGGAATCGTCCATGGGAGTGGGTGGCTGGACACTTCATAAAAATGGAACTGTAATCATATAATATGTAGCCTCTTGTGATTGACTTTTTCATTTAGCATGTTTTCCAGGGTCATCCATATTGTAGCACTTATCAGTATTTCATTCCTTTTTATTGCTGAATAACAATCCATTTTATTTTTTTTTTTAATTTTTTTTCAACGTTTTTTATTTATTTTTGGGACAGAGAGAGACAGAGCATGAACAGGGGAGGGGCAGAGAGAGAGGGAGACACAGAATCGGAAACAGGCTCCAGGCTCCGAGCCATCAGGCCAGAGCCTGATGCGGGGCTCGAACTCACAGACCGCGAGATCGTGACCTGGCTGAAGTCGGACGCTTAACCGACTGTGCCACCCAGGCGCCCCAACAATCCATTTTCTGAATATGCCACATTTTATTTATCTATTCATCAGTTAATGAATATTTAGGTTGTTTCCAGTTTTTGGCTATTATGAATAATGCAGTGATGAACATTCATGTACAAGTTTTTGTGTGGACATATGTTTTAATTTTGACCTAGGAATTGAATTAGTGGGTTATATGGTAATTCTGTTTTCATTCCAAAGAACAGCCAACCAGACTTTTCCAGAACAACTGTACCATTTTACGTTTCCATCAGTAATGTACGAGGGATCAAGTTTTTCCACATCCTTGCTAACAATTTGTATTATATGTCTGCTTGGTTATAAGGCATCTAGTGGATATGAGAAGTGATATCTCATTGCATGTGTGTGTGTGTGTGTGTGTGTG